ATGAGTGTTTACTAGATTAACAGACGGGACTCTAGTCAAGGCAAAAATAAACCTGCTGGACATGCACCAAGTGTAGGGCAAAATATGGTGGAGATTCCAGAGACTATGTCTAGCTTTCATAAGGTATACAGAAGTTTATTCCAACCCCTGGGAAACCCCGCAGAGAAACAAGGAGGTTCCATATCACACCCAAAGGAAGGAGTAGCACATGCCAGCTACCCTTTGTAATTGAAGAGCTCCATGATTAGAGGTGGCTGCTCTCAACAATTAACTCTAGTAGCTCCAGCAGGCAAGGCCAAGGGGCACCTCTCCACATTCCCTGACTGTACCAATGCAGGAGGCTACCAGTAAGCTGGAACCCTCAAGGCACCATGCTTTCAGAGGACACCACCACATTCATCCAAAGCAATTGGGTATGGGCAACAGGATATGACATTGAGCATTCTGCCTCCATCTCAGCTGCTGTTAAGGCTACACCTCGTCATAGTAGTGGAGAAAGAAAATTTGGAAAAATAGAGGATTCAGAAGACTAAGGCCATTTTTCCAAGCCTTTCCCACTTGTTAAAATATGTACCATACAATTTGTTTCCTTCAATCATTCACAATTTTTGAGAATTGACGGCACCTGTCATAGTATCAGAAGTAATACTTCATGTTTTTTACAACATGTTGGCGAGAGAGGAGATAGGGGCACAGATGTCATTCTTGAATAGGATCTGTTTCATTTTCATGTATTCTTTATTGAATGTGCATGTGAAATGTTACTTCTATAATGATCATTCTGTGAAACAAGGCTTAAAGCGAAGGGTCAGCAGGTCCTCCTGATTGCTCCATTGGATGCATGAGCTGACTCACTGCTCCACTAACCTACTTGCATCATCAGCTATGTACGCAGGAGATAGGCTTTACCACTGAGGATCCATCCAGCAACTTGGACTCAGTTGTATGAGGCAGTTAGTACTTGAAAGGACTAACTGACATCACAAGTTAAGCTTCATCCATCAGAATATAAAAAAACTGTTCCTGACAAGAGTAACCTTGAACTGGTAACTGGTTAACAAGTTCATAACAAGTTCAGTGCTAAATTCTGTCTAGCTAAACTGTAAACTGTACACACTCCTATATACAGCATGAGGTCTCACAATAAATCTTCATGTAACTTAGTTGTAATTAACTAGGTATTAAGATCTATACAATAAGCCTGCTCTGCTTTTAAAGATGAAACCTCCCTTCAGCCAAAGACAGCGTATTGAATTGAATTGAATCATTTATTGTTATGTGTATTCATTATAAAATACAGTGAAAAGTGTGTACCGTCACCATACTTAGGCATTATTCACATTAACTTAAAATTTAAAAAAAGAAAGATAACTTAAAGAGAGTCCAACCTTTCCTTCTCTGCTGCTACAATCTCACCCGGGCTTCACCAGCCCACGTCATGTCGCCGCCAGAATCCTGCTCTGGGCTACAGTAGCCATGCCATGCTGTTGCCAGAGTCCCACGCCAAGCTATAGCAGCCCACACCATGCTGTCACCGGAGTCCCACTCCAGGCTTCCCAGCCCATACCATGCCACCACCAGAGTCCTTACACGCTTAGTGTCAATAACTTTCACGAATACAAACAGGGAGGATTGGTGGCAGTGGATCTTTTTTCATTTGTGGGTTGTGGCTGTTCCTGACTGGCCAGCATCTATTGCCTGTCCCTAGTTGCCCTTGAGAAGATGGTGATGAGCTGCCTTCTTGAACCGCTGCAGTCCACCTGCTGTGGGTTGATGCACAATGCCATTAAGGAGGGAATTCCGGGATTCTGACCCAGTGACAAAGAAAGAATAACGCTATATTTCCAAATCAGGATGGTCAATTGGAAGGGAATTTGAAGGTGATGGTGTTCCCATGTATCTGATGCCAATCAAGCAGGCGACTTTGTCTTGGATGGCGTGAAGCTTCTTGAGTGGTGTTGGAGATGCACCCATCCAGGCAAGCAGGGAGTATTCTGTCATACTCCTGACTTGTGCCTTCGAGATGATGGACAGGCTTTGGTAGTCAAGAGGTGAGTTACTCACTGCAGTATTCCTAGCCTCTGACCTGCTCTTGTTGCCACAGTATTGATATAGGGAGTCCAGTTGAGTTTCTGATTAATGGTAACTCCCAGGATGTTGACAGTTGGCAATTCAGTGATGGTAACGCCATTGAATGTCAAGGAGCAGTGGTTAGACTGTGTATTATTTGGACATGGTTATTGTCTGGTATTTGTGTGGCGCAAATGCTAATTTCCACTTGTCAGTCCAAGCCTGAATATTGTCCAAATCTTGTCACATTTGAACATGAGCTGCTTCAGTATCTTAGGAGTTGTGAATGGAGCTGAACATTGTGCAATCACTGGCGAATATCCCCACTTCAGATCTTATGATGGAGGGAAGGTCATTGGTGAAGCAGTTGAAGATGGTCCCATCTACCATGGCATGCTGGATTGTATCGGAGATCACAAACATGATGTATAACAGGTTGAGGCTTCAAACACTTTATGCAAGATGTACATGTGTCACAGTAGTTCGATTGGAAATGAACACTGACTTGCATAATTCATATTTTGTGGTTTCACACCAGATGTACCTTCAAGGAGTGGAAATCTTTATGATTTAAAAATGCATTTGCCTATTTCTATGGAGATTCACAGCCACACAAATGCAGTTGATGATACCTGGCTCTCGGGAAACCCAATGATGACACTGAACAAAGCTGACTTTTCCATCACTGGTGGATGAACAATCTTGCACAACTTATTGGCTATCTTTCAGGACATCCTCAGATATCACTGTCGTCATCTCTCTTACATCTGACGGTAACCTGTTCTTGTTCTCTGGGTGCATCGCCTGTGCCCACTTGCGCCAGAACTTCTGAGGAAAGGTCACCGGACCCAAAACGTTAACTCTGATTTCTCGTCACAGATGCTGCCAGACCTGCTGAGCTTTTCCAGCAACATCTGGTTTTGCATCAGAACTTTCCCTGGATATTTGAATCCACACCAACCTTTGCCTTTGGTGCTGTTTCATTGGCCTTGCAGCCTCTATTGTTGAACAGCAAAATTTCTCCTTTTCTTATTTTTTTTCAATCAACCTGTTCAGAGATGCTATAACACACCTCTGGAGCTGGCAGGACTTGAACCCAAGCCTGTTAGTTCAGAGATAGAAACACTACCACAGTACCACAAGAGTTTCCTGTCACCATTTTTCCATCCTCCTCTTCTGCTTCTGAAATTGAGATATATTGCATGAATGGGACCCTTGGTTGTAACAGTAGTTGCATTGTGTGAAAAGGGTGGACATACATGTGAAGTGTACTTGTCCATAGTGTAATTATTAGGTAGTCCCTTTCACAGAGTCAATTGCATGCAAGGTGAAATGCCACCACTCAAAACAATCTTCCTCCCACTCCATCTGCATTCCTTCCATCCAAATTTGTGTTTACAGCCAGCCACCAGCAATGGTGCATGTTACATTTAAACCTGATCCTGAACCTTGTATGGTCCTCATGTCACCCTGAAATGTCCCCCATTCCATCCTTCACCCACTCAACATAATGTTTCCTCTCCCTCTATTATGCTTGAACTTGTCCTGCTTACCCTGGACTGTATTCACATGTTTCCTGCAGATTCCATCTCCTGTCCTGTGATCTTCCCAATATGGATTCTGTCCCTGAATCACCCATTATCATCATCCATGTTCTTGCCCATTCCTGTGATCCATCCCAAGAGTCTTTCCAATAGCCAAACCTGACTGTGGAGCTGCCCTCACACTGAAGATGCCCACTGAATGTGACTGTTCCATTCTCCATCCAACTTCATCATTTCAACCCTCAGGGCTCCTGTTTTGACAGCAATGATCCCACTCCTTAGGCCCATCATCCCACTTTCAATCCCTGCCTTGTTTTAATCCCCCCTCTTTAAAACTGCACCACACTCAGGATGCCACACCATTCCACATCTCCCTGCACACAACCACCAACCTTTCAACACCTTGTGCCATAGAGTTCAGCATGCCATGCACAACTACTTGCCTCAGCAACACCTTCACAAAGTCAGCAATGCCACTTTAAATAATTATGAAACCAGTGTCACGAGATTGTCATGCATTGTTAACTTTATTCTAAGAATCAGGCTTTAATGAAAGCTGTTTCACGTTAATGAGTATTCATGGCATACAGATGTTTTATGAATAGAAACCTGCCACAAGCTGGCATAATGCAAACATGCTGCTGACTTTATTTCTGCATCTCAGCTCCCTATCAGGAAATCAAAATTTCCCACATTTGTAGGCTCCACACCATCCCACCTCCACAGGGGGCACAGAAGTTATAACCTACTTTCATGAATTAACTGTAATAAACCTATGAGTTTCTGCAAATACACTAAAGGGAAAAAAAACTTACAACTTAACAGACTCAAAGTAAGTTAAATTCTAGTATTTTTAGCTTCCTAATACTTACAAGGATTTGGAAATCACTTTATTTCCCATCCCAGTGAGTAGCTTTTGCCATTACGAATGAAAATTGGCTAACACACTGTAAATTCTCAATCTCGGGCATATAATTGATGAAGGTGCCACCAAGGGATTGCTAAATTTGGTTGGATGAGCCTCCCACCTCCAATCACCCCATTCTATACACCTACCATTTGTCACTTGGAACAACCATTCCAAACTAATTTAGAAAGGGATGGACTCTTCTTTATTCTATTAGATGATTTCTCAGTCAAACAGTTCTTGTTCTCACATCCAATATTTGTATGCAAAAAACAAAATTGTTCAAAGATCTCTTTAAAAATAGCACCCTTAATTATTTATTTCCTGGATGGTATGATGCAACGTGCCAGGAAATCATTTGTAAATTCTTGGAAACTCCAAGGCAATCTCGAAGAATTAGCAGCCGTACAAGTACAGCCCACTCTAATACTTAAAGGGAGGGAAAAGAGATTATTCATTCTGTCCTGGCTGAACTTGTATAATCATTAATGCTTGCTACAAAGGAGCAAGGCTAAAGCCTGGGTTCACGCGCTGCTGAGATAATGATGTGTGGCAGGTGAATTCCGCACAGAGAAGCAAATTCTCTGTTTAAAAATAGAAATGTGTGAATTCGAAGAAAGTCTGACTACAGGAGCAAGACTGAGCCAAAGGCATTGAGAGGTAATGAACTGTGAATTTGACCAATATGTTATCTGCTTTCTGGTACAAAATGAACACAGTAAATAACTTAAAGTAGAAGGGAGTAATTACTACCTCATGCTTTCTTCAAACCTATTGTTTCATGATCTCTCTTGATCTAACAGTTCATTTGAGGGGGGATGCTTAGCTAGTCACCAGCAACAAAGTGAAAAACAGTAAAATCCCATGAACAAGGTCAGGATGGCAGTTAATAAACAGGAATGGATACATGAGGAATAATAATAGACGTAAATAATCTCAGCTTTTTGAGTACCTGATGAGCAAATTCCTATTAGAAATAAATTTGACTGGTTAAGAATGTATAAATCTAGAAACTATTGTTGGTGATAAAGGGATCAATGGCTTTTTATGTAGCATCTTACTGCTCACTAGTTTAACACAAGTGTTAACCCATTACAGGACTCTGCTAAAACAGAAGAGGAAAGTAACACAAGCCATTAGTCAATATTTACTTTATAGTGGGCTCAATTACTTGAAGTAGAAAATTTCAAAGACTGTTGAAACATACATGCAATAGTGCACATAAAAGCATGACATGATCAAGACTAAACAGATTCTATTAGGTTTCATTTTAGCCTTGACCTTGTCAAACTTTGAAAACCTTCCTATCTGTGAGCTGTGACATTTAATTTGTCTTTCCTTTCATATAAGCCACTGCAAGCATATTGATTTGGACCTTCCTATTCTTTAATAAACACCTTTTTAAAGATCAAACATATCAAGCAGAAGACAATTCATACTTGACAGATGCTAGCAAATAGCCTGCTATCAAAAAATTATTGTGTCAAATCCAGTTACATCTTGAATTACCTGACCACTGACAAGTTCTGCAACCCTTATTTAAGGACAACCTCACACTGAATGCTTGTGTTTCTTATGAATTTATAACTCAGTACAGCCACTTGTTTCCTGACTACTTTCACTATTATTCTCTAAAGTAAAAATGTGTAAGTTGCACTGAACGTTTTCCACTTGGTATCATAATTACTTCTTACTGTTGCTAGTTCTTGCCCTGAAAATGGCAATGCTACACAAGCACAGTTTTGGCTTTTCCTCAATCTGTTTTTATTAATAAAATGACCAATTTTGTGAATATCTGTTATTGGTTGAAGCATTGCCCAATAACAAGAAATCTTAAAACAAGATGTTCTTTACGAACAAAGAAACATGGGTAGAGTTCCTGTGCTTTCCCCATAGTTTTTCCAGTGGAAAAGGCTCCATTGTTATTAAGCACATATAAACTCAGCCCCAAAATGTCCTGCCGTCAGAGTGTATAAGATAGGCTGAAGAGCTAAAATTGTTGATGATATTCGGCAGCTGCATGACCCTGAATGAGTCCTGTAAACATTCTCATATGTGCCGAAGACAGCACAATCAAAACTTGTTTTCTGCGCTAGCAAGCAGTTTGTTTTCTGTAGTTGTTTTCCGTACTGGCTGTTTTTTACACTTAATATGCAAGAGACACTCACGTTCCGAGAGTGGGAGTTCATCTCGGACCGGAATCGTGAATGGTGCCAGGAGCTAACCTAAGCCTCCAGACCAGCTGTCGATCAGGGGGGTCCCTGATGGGCAGAAGGGTGTGAGACTTGTTTTTCCTTTTTCCTTTTTTTAAACTCATTATTATCATTATTATTACTTAATAAACACCCACATTTAAGCAAATTGCTGTTGTCAAGTCTTCTCTTAACTATATTTGACCGAATCAAAAAGAACCATTTGAAAACACCCTGCGATCCAAGACACTTTTGGCGACACGGATGGGATTGGGAAAAATATTTCAGAGAAGGCAAAGGCAACTTGATGCACCAGAGACCTTCCGTATTCCAGGATGGAATGCAGCAGACTCTGGATTTGGGTCCGGAGCTAACTTGCTAGCACAATTACGACCTCCGCAAGAATGGGGAATGGTTATAACCGGAAAAAGAGAGAAAGGAGGGTTAATCATACAGGCTGCCTTACACAAGTGCTTGCAGGAAGTGGGCTTCCCCAAAAACATGGACAGTGTACCGCAAATGGGATGCATATTGTTAACAGCTTTGTGTTCTACATGTAGGAAATTGGAAGAGTGCCAGGCAAAAACAGGCAACTTGAGGCCACATTGACAGCAATAGAACAGCTTAACATCACCCTAACAGAAGCAGTTAAGACAGTGCAGGAGAAAGCTGAGAAGGCAGAGGAGAAACAGAACCAGATAGTATGCTGTCTGGCAACGGTACAACAGAATAAGAGAGCAAAATGGCGCAATTGGTAAGTTGACCCCGTCAAAGTGCGCACGTTATTAACCTTACAATGGGACCCCGACCATTGGGATGAAGACATTTGGTATCCATCAGATTCAGAGTATGAATGGACAGACAGGGAAGGGGATGCTCCACCTCGTGCTATTAGCACGACTCCTAATAACAATTAAGGAAAAACAGGTGGAGGACAAACATTACAACATTTGAGAATAGTAAGGGATTACTCTATAGTCTGATTTGCAGGATTTGGGGTCGCACTTTAAGCAGAAGTCAGGTGAACCCTTGACATCTTGGTTGATGCAGTCATGGGACCAGGGTAATGCCCATATTATGCTGAGTGCCATAGAGCGAGGGAATCTGGGAGCACTAAGTGTTGATCCACATGTGACTAGTGTTTTTAGAAACATAAGGCAAGCTGGATTGTTGTGGAACGCACTGACACTAGTAGTAGGAAACAAGTACCCTTCCCGATTGATTCAGAAGGCAATGTTGAAAACTGGGTGAGCATACCAGAAGGTATAAAACATTTGAGGGATTTGGCTACACAAGCGGGTATGTATTCTCCACAGTTTCAGGGTCCAGACGGTAAGTAATGTGAAGTGGTCTGGGCTGGATGAGAGGTGCCCTGTTAGCCCTATTAGGGCCATTCCAGGGACAGGCAGTGGGATAGGTATGTTTTTTGTTAGGACAGTTAGAGGATGTGGAGGCTGATAAGCGAAGAGTGAGGCCCACCCGAACGTGTGACAAACAGGAACAACAAGTTGGAGATGGAGTGGGTTCGAAGGTGAAACAAAAGATAACCAGATGGAAAATGTTCATGGCATTATTAAGAGGGGGAATAGAGAAGAGTAAGATAGATGGAATACCTATGGATGCCATGTACAATATGTGGAGGATGCATTGCTCTCCAAAGGATAAGGAAGTAGGAGAGACTACATCAGATGTGGAGGGAGGAAAGGAAACCATACTGACTGCGTCTCCCTAGCCTGGAGGACATTGGGCAGTTGTGGCGAGCCTGTCAGCCAATCGATTAGGGGTGGGGCCAGGACTCAGAGTTCTCTGTAAGGGCATTTGGTGGGATGACTGGAGACCCGAGGCTTCATGTCCCTATCACTGTTTATTGGAGGAAAGGCAATGTACAACGGGACATCGCACTATTAGACACTGGGGCAGAAGCTACTATTATACATGGCAATCCACATAGACATGTAGGGATCAGAACGACTATTAATGAATTTGGTGGGATGATAACACCAGTATTTAGAACAAATATTAGAATGGCCTTGGGGAATGGACCCCCTTGAGTAGTCCTGGCATTGATATCCAACATACCAGAAAATATTATTGGTATGGACTTATTGAAAGGTATCACCTTGCAGACCCCACCTGCAAATTCACTTTTGGTATATGAACTGTGTTGGGAACCCCTCATTATTCCTCCGCCCACATGGGTGGTTTTGATGAAACAGTATCGTATTCTGGGAGGACACGAAGAAATTGGGGATTCTATACAGGGCCTGTTAGCTGCACGAACTGTGACACATGCAGTATCAGTGTACAATAGCCCTGTATGGCCTGTAAAGAAGCCTGATGGAAGCTGGCAAATGACTGTTGATTACTACCAACTCAACAAATATGCTCCTCCATTAAGAGTGGCTGTGCCTGATGTGGTCACCATCATGGAAAGTTTGTCACAAGGGCCAGATACCTAGTATGCCATTATTGATCTAGCAGATGACTTTTACTTGAAAACGATAGCCCCAGAAACAGAAGCTCAGTTTGCTTTTATATGGGAAGTTCGCCAATATATCTTCTGTCGGCACAAGGATACTACACAGTCAAACCTCATGCCATGGGCCAGTAGCAAGGGACTTAGATATGTGTTCGCTGCCACCGGACAGTCACGTAGTGCATTATATTGATGATATCTTGATCTGCAGACTAAAGGAATCCACAGTGACGGAATCTCTAGCCACACTGGTGCAACATATGCAAGACAAAGGCTGGGAAGTGATCCTGAAAAAGATGCAGGGACCAGCACAGATTTTAGGCATTTGGTTGACAAAAGGGGATAAGAGTCATCCCTGAAAAAGTAAACAATAAAATACAAGAAATGGCTGTTCCAACTAGCAACACCGGGGCATAGAAATTTATGGGTCTGCTCGGATATTGGCACAGACATATAGCTCACTTGACCACATTACTAAGACCATTATATGCTGTTACTTAAAAGAAAGCTCAGTTCGAATGGGATGATGAACAACAGAAAGCATTTATGGCTGCCAAAGAGGCCGTGGCAGTAGCACTTCCCCTGGCCCCTCAGATACTTGGTGTACCCCTTGAATTACAAGTGTCAGTAGTATAAAATGTAGCCACATGGTGCTTATGGTGCAAAACAAAGGGGAAAGCAACACCTCTGGTGGTCCAGAAAACTGACTGAGGCAGCTATGCGTTACACGCCATTTGAAAAGCAACTTCTGGCCTGCTATTGGACTCTAGTAGAAATTGAAGGGTAGACGTGCGAGGACAAAGTGCTCCTAAGACCTGAGTTACCAATTTTGACATGGGTGTTATCTGACGTTGCGACCCACAAGGTCGGTAGAGCCCAACAAAGCTCACTGTAAAATGGAAATGGTACATAGCTGATTGAGGCAAGCTCGGAAAGGAAGGGGTTGTCAAACTCCATGAACAAATTGTCGTAGGGTCATATAGCACGGAAACAAACCCTTCGGTCCAACCAGTCCATGCCGAAAAAATTGGTGAATATCTCACCAGGTAAACAAACCCCAAGTCTCAACTGGACCATACTTGCATCTCTCATTCAATGGGGCTTTCCGTTTGAGCAACTGCCTGAAGATACCCATCACTGTGCTTGGTTCACTGATGAATCAGCCACCTGGAAGAATGGCCAAAGGTGATGGCGAGCAGCTGCATTTAATCTCTCCTCACAGACTATCCATAGTCAAGGAGATGGATGATTCAGCCAGTATGATGAATTGGCAACTGTGGTCCTAGCGCTGGAAGAAGAGAGTCAGCGTTTGCATATTTATACTGACTCATGGGCAGTGGCCAAAGGAATGGGCTGTATGGACTGGCAACCTGGTGGTCACATAACTGGAAAATTGCAGGAAAGCTCATGTGTGGATCAGACCTATGGAAACAAGTATGGGGCAAAGGCACTGCACAAGAAAATTACTGTGTACCGTATTGATGCCCATATGAAGAATGGGTTGGAATCTGCTGATCACAACAATACAGTGGACGGAACAGTAGAAGCCAGAATGGTTGAAGATGCATCTGAAGAGTATCACACTGGAAACTGGGCTCATGAAAAATCAGGACACTCCGGGTATCACAGCACTGTGCAATGGGCAAGAGATCGAGGTTTGCAGTTACCTGCTGACCTGGTGAAAGAAGTCATTGGCAGGTGTGAAATATGTCAAAAGGTAAAACACATCTTACTGCTGAAAAAGCCAATGACACAAATCAAACGAGGAGACCAGCCTGCTCAAATCTGGCAGATTGACTACGTTGGCCCATTACTGTTACAACAACGATATCAATATCTGTTAACCATAATGGGCATTTACTCTGGGCTAATGCTAGCTTTCCTGACAATCAAAGCAAATCAGAGTAACACTGTTAAGGGCCTAGAACAGTTGATATCCTACAACAGTGAGCCATCAGAAATACAATCAGATAATGGCTCACACTTTACAGGTCAAAAGATGCAGCAATGGGCTGCAGACAATGAGATATGTTGGATTCCACATCCCTTATTACCCTCAAGCAGCTGCCCTTGTAGAACAAATGAATGGGTTATTAAAACAACAAATTAAATTAGTTACCCCTAATCATACATTACAGGGATGACTTAAAGTGCTGCCACAGGCATTGTGTAATATGAATAATCAGCCTCTGAAAGGAGGGACCCCCATGAGTAAAATGTTTAATGGGGTAGGCAGTTACATCCTCTCAATAAAACTACAATGTCCGACGACGTTTATACATGGGGAAACACCCACCTAAACCTGGTGAGATACCCACGGACAAGGTGATTCCTATTGGATATTGATAATGGGGCAGGAAGCACCAGAGTGTATAAGACAGAAGGAAATTAATGATAAAGAGAGTGAGTTGTCAAAGATTGTAAACTGATAAGATATGATGTCTTCACAGAACCATGTGAATTTTTTATGGATGGATGCTGCTGTGGATGATTCATCAGTTGGCAGCTGCTGTACCTAATCTCACAAAAAGGCCACTGCGGTCATTAATTTGATGATAAACCCTATTGTTATATTATTCGTATTGATGATGGTTATTTTCATTGTAGTTTTAATTTTCTGGTGTAGGTCACATACTCATACGTTCTCGCTTGGCTGTCACAGATTTGCGTCTGTACTTACAATTGTAACATGCACTGTCAAATATCATCAGGGGTAGATTGTATAGGATGGGCTGAAGGGCTAAAATTGTTGATGATATTCATCAGCTGCATGACGTTGAATGAGTCCTGTGAACATTCCTGTACCTGCCTGTCTTGAATCACAGAGTGCATCCAAACGTTTCTTTTCGGATTCAGTTAAATGCAGTTAAGAGAAGGCTCGTCAACAGCAAGTTCCTTAAATATGAACATTTATTAAGCAATAATAAAAGACGAAAGCAAAGGCACATTTATTAAGTAAAGAAAGAGAATGAAAAATAGAGGGAAAAAACAATAAGCCTCACACATTTCTGCTCATCAGAGACCCCTCAATCGACAGCTGGTCTGGAAGCTGAGGTTGTTTCTCGCATAGTTCACAATCCCGGTCCAAGGTGAAGTCCAGTGACTTGGAACAAAACTCTCTCTCTTATACAGTGTAACAAACAGCAAGGCACAGAAAAAATAATTACAGAAAAACACATTGATTGTGTCGTCTTCAGCACGTACAGGAATGTTCACAGGATTCATTCAAGGTCATGCAGCTGTCGAATATCATCAACACATTTAGCCCTTAAGCCCAT